ACCTTAAGGCTGGTGGCTGGTGTTGTCTTTTTCCCTCACTGCCAGCCTTATGATAGGGTCCTGCTGTGGATCCGAGAATCGGAGGTTAACAGCTCTTGTTGCTATGGTTACAGGTTTGCTTATTCCTGTGGAGGATGAGCACCCCACCCTGCTCATCCTTGGAGTGCTGCTCACCTTGAGGTATCTGGTGCCTTTGCTGCAGCAGCAGGTCAAGGACACGAGCCTGAAAGGGAGCTTTGGGGTGACACGGAAAGAAATGGAAGTGTGTCCTTCCACGGAGCAGCTTGTCCAGGTAGGCGTCACGTGGCTTTCTCTAGTCCTGCCCAGCAGTTAACATCCACAGGTGAACTGTTGTGGGAGAAAAGAGCGTAATCAGGTGTTGGGATTGTGCACTGTGGAGCTCACTTCCTGGACTGCAATCCCAGGGTCCCCCAGGCTGTGTGGTGTTGGCACGGAACACCGCAGGTTCAGTCCCTATGGCTGTGTAGTCTTGGGGTAGAACCCAGGGTCCCCCAGGCTGTGTGGTATTGGGGCAGAACACCCCAGGTTCAGTCCCTGTGGCTGTGGAGTCTTGGGGTAGAACCAGGGTTCCTCAGGGTGTGTCGTATTAGGGTGGAACCCCAGTTTCCCTGCCTGTAACTGAATGAGTGTAGGCTGGAACGTCCTGATAAACACACCCATGAGATTTGATACAATACCTTTAAGAAGTTTGGCAGCTTGCTCTCGCGGACGTGGATGGCCGTGCCCTGATAATGAGGTGTGATCAGATTGACCCCATTCGGTATATACTGGCCTCCATCTGGCTGTTGGTTGTGGTCTGAGGAAATGGGGCATGGTCTGGGTGCTCCCACCTTTGCAAACGAGCTGTGTCTAGTGTCACAGTTATTAGTCTAACAGTGCAGGAGTCGTAAGAATGTGCAGGACAACATGGAAGCTAGTGGTGACACTGGTAGAAGTGAGAAGAACTTGTTTTGGCCAAAGTTGAGGCACAGATATTGCCAGCAAAAGCCTGTTGGGAATGAGGAGCGAGCTCTGGCCCGGGAAACCCAGGGTACTGCTCGTGTTGCCTTTGCGCCTAGGTCTACGAGCTGGCTCTGCATCACACGCAGCACCCAGACCACAACGTCGTCACCGGGGCATTGGAGCTGCTGCAGCAGCTTCTCAGGACCCCTCCCCCCGAGCTCCTCCAGGTGCTGACCACGGCGGGCGGCATCGCACGGCTGGGCGTGGCCAGAGACGAGCCAGGCTGCCGGAGCCGCAGCGGGAGCATCGTGGAGCTCCTAGGTGAGTCCTCAAGGGGCCGGGGGCCTGGGCCTCACCTGGACCGTGCCCCAGTGACCCTTGACAGGGTCACGGCCCCAGCACTGTGCTGAGCAGTTTCCATGGCATACCTTACAGAGCATAGCGTGATGGGGCATCGTCCTCACCTTACGCGCAGGAGAACGAAAGTGTCCAAAGATGAGGTGCGGACGCGAGGCCAGACATCAAGGCCAACAGCCCAGCTCTGTTTCAGTCCGACTTGGTGGCCTTCACGTGTCATCTGAGGGCTTGTGAAAATGTTAGG